CTCTTTGCCTCGGGTGGTTTCAAAAAAAAAAAATCCACTCAGAGTCAGTGATTAAAACAGAGTCTGGTGCCAAAATAAATTGTATTTAAAAAGTACTCTGACTGGAGCAGCTTTCTGTTTGCCTACTTCAAAACAACTCAAGCAGTTCAGTGTTATTCCTGTAGCGAAGTGAATCTGAGCCCTTTGGTTGTGGTGATCTGTCTGTTTAAACCTGTTTAGATTCAGATCAAATTCATTCATATGAATAATAACTAACATTTAATTGAGTTCAAAACAACATAACAATCTTTGTAAAGTCTACTGTCAGTGTTTAACAGTTTGATAGCAGACAGATTGAAAGACTTGGAGCAGCTTGTTTTTTTTTTTTTTTCTTTTCTCCAAAGGGATGCATTATAACGTTGGCTGAAGGGCAGGACTGTGAAGCTGCTGGACAGAACACGGTGAGATTGTCTTATAATTCCTTTTTGCTCTCTGAGCTGTCAGTTTCTCCCAGGGGAGCACAAGTCTCTTTGCTGGGCTCCAGTTATCTTGGAGCACATTTTCACAATATCATTTAGGCCTTTTTTGTGCTTCACAGACAATCCATTAAACCAGCAAATGAATGAAAAAGTTAGAAAACTTTAAATGAACAATGGATAAAAATGATGTAAAATGGAATCACAGACACCAAAAGAGGTCTTCCTCTGCTTAAAATTAAACTTGACTTTGGACTATGTGTAAATGAAGAGTTGAACACAATTCCTCCATACTTGTAAGAATGTTTACACATGTTTAACACTAGCTTTTGGTGAGTCATATTTGTGCTTAAAATCAATGGCTAATTCCTTAGTTTGTGATGCTTATCATCGCACCATTTAACACAGGCAGGTATGGCACAACCACGATCTGACTCTGAACCCTGAAGAAGAGACATCTGGACAGTGTCATTAGAGAATTTCACAAGCTAGCTTCATGTGAAGAATTCATCCAGTTGTCTGTATACATAGCAGAAAGCAACAAGGACAGGACTCCACCCTGAGGTGAGCCCTTATTTCCGACCTTGGTGCTAAGGCCAGAGTAGATCAGAAAATCTCTATTTGTGAAACAGCCACATTCCCTGACAGGATGCAGATGTCCATACCAGTCTTTAGTGGAAATGCGAACTTTAAACTATGTTTCCTTAGTTTGTGTGATCTACATGCAGAACCTACTCTAAATGACTCTCACTATTACTACTAATAATAGTGTGAATATGTAAGTTTTGACAGAAGGAAGAACACATTCTTCCTCTTCCAAACCAAAATTTGAATTCATTAACACAATATGATTGAATTCCTGGCACTCACTCACTATTTTAGGCAACTACTGCAAACCTTAGGACTAAGACACTTTTGTTCTTCTGTTACAATATCATGGTAATTTAACTAAATGCTAAGAAGTATTTTAGAATTATTCTAGTTATTTGCAGCTTGCTACATAGTCTCACCTTTCAAGACAAACATTAGAAGTGCATTTTTTGCAAACAAGATGTAAACTCATATAACACATGGAAACATGTACTGTTCATGTTTACACATGCATATACATGTCAAATAGAATCCTCCTCCTCACCAAGTCTTTTATAACTAATCCCCATCTTATCTTAAAAGCCTATTTTTGCCATTTCATCCAAACAAAGCACTTTTCTCTCAGAATGCTGGCTTACTTGTGTTTCCTACAGTTTCCAGAAGCAGAATGGGAGGTAGTGCTTCCAGCTATCAGACTCCACTGTTGTGGAACCATCTCCCAGTTTGGGTTCAGGAGGCAGACACCCTCTCTACTTTTAGGATTAGGCTTAAAACTTTCCTTTTTTTTTTTTTTTAGCTTGTAGTTAGGGCTGCTAGTTATGCTGCTCCAGGTCCAGGCTACTGGAGGACTTCCCATCATGCACTGAGCACCGCTCCTCTAGTCTCCTCTACAAGCATTTCTATGTCATCTATGCATGTTATCACCTTGTGTTTTCTCTGTTTTGTAGTTTCGTCCTCCCTGCTGGTATCTCTAGCTCATGTTTCTGATCTGCAGTTACTGGCTTCACCAACCTCCCCAGCGTTTATTGTTCTCCTGTGTGGTGTTTCTCTCTGATATCATGTTCTCTCTCCCCTTTGCCCTCTTCCAACCAGTGGAGGCTGCCCTCCCTGAGCCTGCTTCAGCTGGAGGTTTCTTCCTGTTGATATCTTCCCACTGTTACTAAAGTGCTTGCTCAAAGGGAGTTGAAGGATTGGTTGTGTTTCTCTCTGTAATATAATAGTGTACGTTATTGACCTCTCTGTGTGAAGTGCCCTAAGGTAGCTAAAGTTGGAAAATGACACTATATAAATAAAACTGTACTGGATTAAATTGACAAAGAATAAACATGCATGCTAGTACAAATATCAATCTAAAACAACAGCCTTTACTTGGATTTCTCCACTTTGGAAGTCATTTCATGGCCAGTTTTTGCCAGAACTAGTTCTCATTATCTGACTTTGCATAGAACACATAACACCAGTTTCACGAACGTTAGATAACAAAAAATGAACACAAAAAAAATACTGGCTGAATAATTCATTTCTCGTGTAATGCCACTTTGTAATTGACGGAAGATGCCAAACATTCGGAGTCGTGCAACGTGTCTCTCCACTTTGGGGAGTTGCTGAATTGACTGACAAAATCTAGCTCTTCTGGCACATTCACATTTTCAGGAGCTAATTATAGAACTTCAAGAATAAAACATAAAATGAGTGACTTTCCCCCTAATGATTCCACTTATTCGGTCCAAAAAGTACTTCATTTTTTCCGCTTTCAGATGCACATCTTATTTTGCAGCTCTGCAATGGAGTGTGCTGTCAGGGAGCAGGTTTATACAACAGCATCAAACTTTACACCTCCTCAGGTGGATCAGCATGTAAAAAAAAAGTGCTGCCCACATACTGACACAACACTGTCTATAAAACATGAATGAGGGATGTTTTCCCATAAAACTCAGCCCAAAGGGTAATGAGGAGTGATGTCCAATAAAGCTAAGAACTCTGGGAGCGATCAACCAATCCCTGCATGGCACGATGAGTCACTCTGTCGCAGAGAATATCCTCAATATGGGATAACGCATGAACCCAGACCCACGGAGGTGGTTAGGAGTGCTTCGTAAGGATGCGTTCAACTTTGATTTGTTGGCATACAATCTATTTTAGAGCGTGCCATATGTCCAATCTTACAGGCAAACCAGAACCTCCGGGTATGTGACTCACAATCTACACTGCAAAGGAAAAAACAAGCCAAGATAGGTCAAGGAAACATTCAAATGTTGTTTGTAGTTACACAATAAAAGATGAAACAGGAGATTGTGCCTTCTCCTATGAATCCTGCATGTTTGCTTTTCGACAACAAAGAACAAGTCAGATTGGTAATAACCAGAGGAAGCAGAGTAATACTTTTATTCTGTCCTGTAAGTGTTTATGTCGTCCTGTTCTCATGTTTAGAAAGTCTGGAAAGCCTCTCTGACCGGAGTGAATCAGCAAAAATCGCAAGTCCTGCGATGCTGCAAGGTAAAACAATGTTGATAGCTTGTAATAAACATGCCACAGTCTCTAAAAGCAGGAAAGTCTGATGGCTGCCAGAGAGCTTTGAAGTCGGAGCTCACCTCTCAACCTACCACCGTTGCACATCTCCCCCCTTGTTTTGTTTTGTTCTTATTAGGGAACTGGCACAGACTTCAGGCACATCACCTACAACTCCACTGTACGCAACAAAGAAACACATCAAAATCTCCACCGTGTATGTCTGTGAGCTCCTTGATTTTTCTTACCTGGCTAACAGGATGCCTTGTTAACCAGCAGGAAAGCTCAGTTTTCTAAATTGCATCTCACACAGTCGGTTTCCAGCTTGTCGAGCTCATGACCTAGAAAAGAAGGCAGTGGAGTTTTTGGGTCAGAGGCTCCCCCCCCCCACGATGGTCTCCCCCACATTCATTTACACACAAAGGCAGGACTGGGAGGTAATACAGGAGGGCCAGTTTTAGAGGGCATCAAATATTCATGTGGGCCTATGAATTGCTGGCCAGGTTTCCCCCCACCCCGCCTGTAGGTATGTTACTGCCTGCCTGCGCTCCTTCATCACTGTCTTGCTGCTTGGACCCTTGGGTGCCGGATTCTTCATAGTGGCATGATTGGACACAAGGGGAAGAAAGGAGTCCCCTGAACTGCCCCCCCCCCCCTTTTTTTGTCTTTTTTTTTTGGCAAAGTAATGCAATATCATGACTGAGCGTTGAGCCTAATACAGCTGGTGATAGATTAGTTCCACCAGCTCTTGGAGAGGACTGTGCCTCTGGGGTGGCTTCCTGCTTTGTTTGTGTCACGTTTTACTGTGAAGTGGTGATTCTATGGACTAGACAAAGAGGAATCTGCAGTTCATCATGAGCGTGCATCCTATGATGTTCCAGGGTGGTGTTCCAGAAACCTCTGGTCATCTGATTCTCCAGAGGGATGAGAGAGAGAGACAGAGAGAGAGAACGAGCGAGAGAGAGAGAGGAAGAGGGAGGGAGAATCTGACTCTCCACACTCACTGAGGCTCTCTTTACTTTGCTGCCTCCCTTCACTTTCCCTCTCACTACTACTAATCCACACCTGTGCGTCTTTCCACATTTCCCCCCACTGCTCCCAAAAAACTCCAGCCTAGATGAAGTAATTCATGGAGCGGCAGAAGGAGACTTTGAATCGATAAGAAGAGCAGCTGTCAGCTACACAGTTGCAACAGAGAAACCCGCCCGAAGGGACAGAAAGAGACGGAGACAGGCGGAGGAGAGAGGGGGGAAAAGACTGCTTCAGGTGACCGAGTTGCAATGGAGGCGCACAGCATGCGTGATTAGGGAGCTCCGCTTTGTGGACGTGCCGGCTTTTGTTCGGGTGGATTACAAAAAAGTGAACAACCGTCAGAACTGGCCGGGAGTCGCCTTTCGTCCATCTCACTTGGTCGGATTTTTTTTTTTTTACCCCCCTTCAGGAATCATGAATGTGTCGCCGCCAGACCGCAGGAAAAACGTGCGAGAATTGGCTCTGGAGATCGGCATCCGAGTTCTGCTTTTCGGAGTTTTCGTGTAAGTAAACCTGCTGAGTTTTTTTCTGTCTCTCTGGAGAAATCTCTGGCGATGGTGTTCAGTTTCGTGATCGACAGTATTCGGATCCCTTTGCATGATTTTTTTTTTTAGACACCCGAACTGCTGTATTGAGGTTGATTTGCCGCGGTGAGCTGCTCGGACGAACAGGTCCCTCCGCAGTTCACCACCATGGACAGATCAGGCTGTTGTTAACAGGTTGCAAAAAAAAAAAAAAAAAATACAAGTTGAATCTCCTTCTTGCTGCTGACTTTACCTCTTAAATCATTCTTGGTTGACACTTCCCTCTGATCACAGACTGTGAGACAGAAACAGCCTCTTTAACTCCACATAAAATAGACAAGGGGAAGCCCACAGTGATGCAACAATATCATACAGTCTTTACTTTTTTTTTGCAACATGACATTTTGTGAGAAGATTGTGCCTCACAGGCTTCTACATTAATTATTAATTGTTTGTCTGGCCTGAAGGAATTAAGCCCTTTTTGCATCATGATCGACTCATTTATTGATTTTCTGCTTGATAAGATCTGAAAAATGCCCAACTCCTGCAATCTGAAATGATTCACCTTGATGTGTCTTTTCATTCCATCTCTGGGCATCCTCTGATTTTGCCCGCCTAGCTACGCTGCCTGCATTCCCTATGTATATTATCATTAATATCTGTCCTGGGGCTAAGTGTGAGTCCAACTCCATGTGCGCTGTCATGCTAAATGGATCGTGCAGAAGGAGCTTGATGCTGCACAATTCACACTGTCTGTCCAACTCAAGTAGAGGGGATTTGACCATAGAGTGAAACATGTCAGAGCAACATTGTTCAGCCCTCTTTGTGGTTCTGTGTGTGTGAAGCTCCACATGGCTGATCTGCTGTTGGGAATCAGCGCTCAAGGCCACATAAAAAGCAATTTCACACAATATCATCATCATCACCACCATCGACTAACTGCTGCACTCTGCCACCGAAGCGCCAGCCGTAAAGTCCTTGATCACTCTAATGAAGTGGGTTTTACTCCACATGTTCCCTCTTTGCTAGACACAAAAGGCAAACTAAGATGAATAAACTGTGTTTGGTATGAAGCTGCAACGCTGAACTCGATCTGCTTTGCACTTACAGTGAGCTGCGTCCTTAAACTGACACTAAATTGAACGTGGTTACACCGCAGGCAACATCAAATGTCCACATGACACATATTTTCTAGATTAGTCGTTGGTTTATAAAATGGGGAAAAAGGTTGATCAGAGGTTCCCAACAGCTTGTTTTGTCCACAACCCAAAGTTATTCAGTCTAGAGGAGGAAAGAAACAAGACAATACTTACATTTAAGAAGCTGGAATCAGAGAATTTGGATTTTTTATTTTATTTTTTTTAATTATTCAAACTGACTAATTGATCATCAAAATAGCTGTCGACTGATTTAATTGTTGACAACTACTCAGTAATTTGATTAACTGCTGCAGCTCTCCACATGCTTAAACGCATACAACAGCTTTGTATTTGCACTGCTCAGCCAGCTTTGAGAAAGTTGTGACCTTTTGGCTGGACTACAGATCTTTATCTTGGAAGCAACTTTCAGGAGACAGATATTTTAAGCAAGTGGTACTCGATACTGAGGAGAACAAAGACATGCAAAATGTGTTAACGCAATACACAGCTCCCCCGAATTCTGAACATCATCTTCATCACATCTAAGGCTGATGAAAACCATCTACATTTCCTAATACTGAGTATATTTTTACATTTCTATACATGATATTCAAGCTTAAACAGCTAAGTCACATTGCAGCAATATTCCAAACCTCCTCTCCCTAAAGACACAACAGATCTTGAAATGAAATGAAAAATGCTTTATTTATCCCAGAAGGGAAATTCAATATTGTAAAAAGCTCACCGTTTTTTTAATTTAATTTTTAAAAAAAAATCAATATAATCATATATATACAACAATAATAATCAGTCAGTCAGTCAGTCAGTCAGTCAGTCAGACTTGTTCTTCAAGGTGATGGCTGTTGGTAGGAATGAATTACTCTGTCTATCTTGTTTTACAACTCTCTTGCCTGGAGGTGTGGATTACCTAATAATTTTGTTTTTATTCAAATCAAATCAGGTTTATTGTCATTTTGCTGTATATACACAGTAGTACACACAGTATGGTGTGCCGATGGTGAAGCCACAGATGCTGCCCAGAGCTAGCTGTCTGTCTGTCCGCCTGGAATAATGTCGTCTCCTCCAGCTCTATGTCTGTCTGAGATGTTGTCATGGAGCCATGTTTCTGTTAAAGCAAACACACAGCAGTCTCTCCACTCTCTGCGGGCTTCTCTCAGCAAACGTAACTCATCCAGCTTGTTGCCAAGTGAGCAGACATTGGAGAGTAGGAGCGATGATCCTGCTGGTCTGAAGGGGTTAGCCTTTAGCCTAGCATGGCTCCCGGCTCTCTTCCCCCTCTTTTGTTAACGTTCATACCGTTTGCGCTTCCCTCTCTCTCGGGTAACTGCTGGCGTAGTCTCCAATCGGACTCTGCGTTGGCACAGCATGTCCAACATAAGATGAATAGCAGAACGTTACTTCTGATTGAGAGCGCTGATTTTTGATATCAAGTTTCAATCATGCATTTTGACAGAGAGAAGCATTTGGTCTATTACGTCTCTTCAGGACTGGTAGTAATTGTTGTATCGAACAAGCTTTAATCCCGGTGGATCAGAGAGAGTCACCCTTGAGGGGCAGCAGTTCCCTGTTCTTATCTCACCTTGAGGCCTGAGGTGAATGCAGGATAATTGGAGTCAACTAGAATCTGCTGTTTTCCTCACCAGAGGTGTAACAGAGACTTTTTAGCTGTCGCCTTTCGTGAATGCCGTTGAGTGTAGGTTCAGTGTAGGTGTAGGAACACTGGGGTTTTATTTTTAGGGAAGAAAATGGCAACCTTATCGGTTGCCTGTTTACCAATGAGATTCAGCAATCATGTCTCCTCGGTTCATTACTTGGTTAAAATCTCATTTCTCCTGATAGAGTTTCATTCCTCCTCTGCAGCTAGGTCTTAAACAGGAGGAGAGGGAAAAAGAGCTGATTTTCTCATTTGCTGTTCACATTCCTTCATAATTGTGAACATGTACCGAGGGATGCCAGAAATCAATTAATTAATCCTTTAGTTTGGGCTCATAAGTAGATATGAATACATCAGAGAGGTGTCTTTCATCAGAGATCACACGTGCAAATTCGGTAATTCTGTTTGTCTTTGTTTCTAATTAAATAGCGCCGACTGTAACGCAGAAGTTCTTCTCCGTGCTTGACTGGTCACCGACAAAAACAGGAGAATTTAAACCTCGAGTCCTGAATTCCCTGCATTATTCACACTCACATTTTGCCTGCCTGCCTTTAAGGGAATGTTACTTTTTATCTGCCCTTGCTTGCCAAGCTGCTTGTCTGTTCCGGGCCTCAGGAGGTGCGCTGACCTTAGCGACGGGCCAAGTGTGTGACGTTAGGTTGACCCTGTGCTGCGAAACCCGCTAATGCCATGCCAGTCACCAGAGCTTGGCACTCCACGAGTCGCACATTTCCCGAGTGCAAAGTGAAAGGTTCAATCTAAATGGAAATGGATCTTTGACATTTAACAAAAATGGGAGGGGGGACTCACAAAAGCTGAAAACAGACTCAGAAAAAGATAAAGTTCTTTTTTTCTTAGCTGCTGAACACAGAAAGAGAGTATAATGAGATCGGTGCAATTCACTTTCCTTGTAATCTGGAGCACAACAAGCGAGTGCTCAGACAACTACCAAGAAGTCATTTCTTTCTTGAGTGGTCATGTGAGAGAACTCACGTCTTAAATCAAATCAATACAAGCTTGGAGGTGAAGTTCCTTCTATTCTGAAGCTCATACTTGGACACTTGAACAAGCAGGTAATTCCCATAAATGTATGAGAAACCTGGGTAAATGTGGAGCCGACAAAGCAAGAGACAAAAAGACGGAGGCAGAGGAGGAAGATAAGGTGGAGGACACACAGTTAGGGAGATCTGGATTGTTTTGAGATTTTATAGATTAAGACCTGAAGCACGGAAAATAGAGAGGCGCCTGAACCACTCTGAGAACTCTTATCCCTGCAATCTAAAAGCTTCTTGATGGAGTGATTGGCTAGAGAAGAGGGCAGCTGTTTTACAGGCTGATGTACACAACAAAGTAGAATGGATTTGTTTGTGCCAAGAGAAATAATTTGGACCTCAGCAGATCATTTTATTGGACAGAATTATGGCGATAAAGCAGGCATTTTGTTAATTGCACACGCTGGCATCGAAGAACCCCAGAATGTCAATCGTGTCATAAGTTTAAATACCATCTGATGCTGGTGTTATTTTAAGGTTGATTTTTTCAAAGGCACTATCAACTGAAAACAGCGTTCGGTTCGCTGCATGTCATCCTCTTCTCTCAGAGGAAGGCTTAGGAGCAGCTTTGGGATACAGCCCAGAGCCTTGGCAAGTGTCAGAAAGCCTTGTGAGATGTTGGGTAAGAGCAGAATGTCAGGCCTCTGACTGTTTAAGAGTAAGCAGATTGTGTAGCCTGAATGTTAAATATGAGAGCTGCTATGCTTTGTTGGGAAAGTCTGTTTTTATGGGATTGATTCCAGAGTCATCAGGACACATTGTCTCTGTGGCTGATAAGATGCTCACGCTGTCGCCCTCCTTATGATTAATGATGAAGAAGACAGATGAAACTAAGTTGAAATTCTGGTTTATTCAGCCCTGGTTGATTTGGCACCACCTGTGATTACCATGGTGACAGGGAGCGTAGTGCAGCAAACAGTTATCTAGCAGCAGCTTTATCAGAAAACCTGGTAAATTGGTTTACGGTGCAAACAAACAAACTCACATTTTTGTAGTTTAAAATAAATTTTAAAAAAGTCAGACAAAGATAATTCGAAGCACGATCTGATTCGGTGGCATGCGTAGCTGTCTGCACAACAGGTCGCCGTGGAGATGGTCATCCCGTCGAGGAGG